AATGTCTCAATTCTTTTATTAAAATATTTTCCAGATTGTTTATCATGCATAATACTTCCTAGCAAATGTCAAGATAAGAGTTATGCTGTAAGTAAAGGTTTTTTTTCTGTTTAATTATATGTTTGATTAAATACATGTTAAGGAATCTATTATTTATATATTAGATTTAAAAGTTCTTATGCTTTTTTTTTGCCAGATAGGTACTAAGGCATTTGAGAAAAACTTTCCCATCTGTCTATCACATAAAATACACATCAGAGGACAATATCTATTCTCAAGATTTCTAAGTAAAAGATACAGCAATGTATTGTTATATTTATTTGCTAGATTTATATTGTTTTTCTTCTCAAAGCACAAAGCATCATGAATACCACGTCCACCAATTTTTTGACAGTACCACAATCTTGTATGAGTAGCAAGTTTGAGACTCATTCAAATATTCCCAGTTAACCTCCATGGTTGAAAATTAACTTTAACAGGGTATTCCTAATCCTAGGCAATCCTTTTGATTAGTGCATGAAATTAAAAAAAAAACCGCTAGTCTATGGAGATTCACAGTCATCCAGGTCATAATGTATTCCTCACGTTATTGTAGTATCTATGTTAGTATTAACTGGAAGTTTTGCCTATTTAAATCTTCCTCTAATACTTACTTAGATTTTGGTTTAAATGTTTTATATTCTCTCCTTCCACCTCTGTTGAATCCAATCATCTATATCACGAGAAATAGGAATATAAATATGTCCTTTCTAAACTGTGGACATTCTGTAAAAATCTTTTAAGGTTGCTTATATTCTGGTCATCACAATTTTGCATTTTCCAGGCTATTCCTTTAATTCTCTAAATTCAGGAATACATTAAAAAGGGAGACATACAATAGTTGGAACATAGGCACATTCAACCTTTCAATCCAGAAGAACTGTAGAACTCAAGAAGTTAATCAGCAAACATTCTTCATCCATAATAGTTGTTAATGCAATTTAAAGATGCTAAATGTGGGTGATTGGCAGCCTGTGGCTTGTCACAGATGATCATTCTTGATTTTTGGTGAAGTGAATAGCAAGATATAGTGCAATTGTGTGTGGAGGGAGTACAATTGCGAACTTGTTTAAACTATGTGGGCTATTTTTCCCTGAGATTTCTGTATAAAATAATTTCCCCTACAATGCTTGCAGATAAAAGCTTCAGCTTTTCCAATAGTTCTTTCTTTCTTTGTAATTTGCTCACACACTTTGATATTTTGTTCTCTTTTGTCAGTCTTAACTCCTTCCAACTGCCCAGAAAAATCACTGCATTTTTCTTTACAAGGCTTTTCAGAAGGGGTTTGCCATTACTTCCTTCCTAGAGCTGAGAGTGAGTGACAGGCCCAAAGTCACCCATCTGGTTTTATTCCTACAGCAGGACTATACATCAGTATCTCCTGATTTCTAGTGTTGTGCCTTAAACACCACACAAAACAGGTTTTTACTTATTTTAGTTCAGGAGTATTCTTTTTTTCTCTTAGAAGTGCTTTGGCAAAACCAGGCACTTGGTAGGGTGGGCAGGATGGGTGAGTTGGTACTATGTACTGTAACTTTTTTATGACACAACAAAATGAAAAATCAAGAAGTTCATGTCATAATTGTAATAGAACATCATATAAGCTTACAGTAACTGTGCAATATGATGTAAATTGGAAGAAATAAGAAACACTCCATAGTCCAGTGTTTCTCAACCTTGACAATTTTAAGGCATGTGGACTTCAACTCCCAGAATTCCACAGCCAGCATTGCTGGCTGTGGAATTCTGGGAGTTGAAGTCCACATGCCTTAAAATTGTCAAGGTTGAGAAACACTGCCATAGTCTAATACCTGAAGAAACAAATCTAAATTGTTATACACCAGAATTATATTTTATTAACATTTGCTGAAAAATGGTTTCATCCAAGCTGCTGATAACACACTAAAAGCCTTGTTCAGGTTTTGTGGTTATGCCTTTTGTGTTATTTATGCCACCATCTGTCCAAATACATTTTAAAATACATTTTTATGTAAATGCACAATAAATTTATATTTAAATAAAGAAAGGACAGATACTTCATGGATCAGTATAAGTATACTTTGAAAGGGTGCCATATGGATACTCAAATAATCTAGGCAATATCAATACCTTTTGTTGAGGGTGAGTGGCTTTCACCTAAAAGAATATGAAATTTCCTCCTATATTTATACTTCTGTATTTCCTTCTTGTACTCTTGCCTTATTTGTGGATATTTCTTTTTTTTTTATTGAAAAGTTTTTACATTTTACAAAAACAAATCCCCTTCCCATACCCCCCCCAACCCTACCTCACCCCCCCCTTCCCAACCTCCCAAACCCTCCCCTGGACTTCCCAGAGCTGAGTACAGGCTTAATTAAAAAAAAAAACTTAAAACACTTTTAAAACCTAAACAAATTTAAATACAATCATCATTCTATATAAATCCCTCCAAAAACACAAATTTAAACATTACTTTCTTTGAATATCTATATCTATAGTGTAAAATCTAATTTCTCCCTCTTTCTTTATCCTAAAACGAAAAAATAAACATATAAACCTTTGTTATACCATTAAAACTAAATACTCTTAAAAAACTTAAAGTAAATACATATTTCCTTCAATCTTCATAATCTTCTCTCCTATCCAAAAAGAAAAAAACTTAAAAAACCTATAAGTCCTAAACAAATCTAAGCACATTTAATTAAACAAATTATTTTCTCTTAAAAATATTAATAATAATATTTAAAAACTAGAAACACTTTTAAATCCTAAACAAATCTAAATACAATCATCATTCTATATAAACTCCCTCCAAAAACACAAATTTAAACATTACTTTCTTTCCTAAACAAATCTAGACATTTAATTAAACAAATTATTTTCTCTTAAAAATATTAATAATATTTAAAAACCAAATTTAAGCATACTTAAACTTGAACAAGTTATACTCCCTTCAAAACACAAATTTAAACATTACTTAAAATTTAAAACATTAGAATCCCCTCACTAAAATGAGCAAATTATAATCCCTTCAAAACACAAATTTAAACAATATTATCATTAAAGGTTCAAAACTTAAAACAACAAAATTCCCTTATACGCCTATCCATAATAAACACATTAAACATTTCAATCTTCACCAATAACAAATTCCATCCGTAAGAAACTGCATCCTTATCAGTCTCAATTATATTAGTATTATTATTAATTATTCACATTCCAGTTTTTTCCATTCTCCATTCTTCCATTCTTCCATTTCCATTCTCCATTCTTGTATCAAACTTGTAAGAAATGCTGCACGTTCTGCCTTAGGAGACTGCTCCAAAATTCCTGAATCTCTCATCGACTCCGAAGCCAATACAGGTATATTTCTTGTCCACACCGTACTTCTGCAATTATATTTACTACTTTGCTGTGCTTGACTCAGTAAATTCTATCAACATTTGCCTAATCTGTGTGGCTATTACTTTCTTATTCGTGAACATGATACATTGTATACAGCACATATCCTTCAAGAGTCTTTCTAATGCCCGTTCCATCTGGAGATGTCCAGGACTCTGAGATGGGAATTAAAAGTCTGAGACTTACATAGAGAACAAGAGCTTTGGAATTATGTAAAGATTCCACACCTCCTTTATTTAACAAGCAAGAAGATTAGCTCAGATGAGCTCTAAGTCAGTGGTTCTCAACCTTTTTAATGCTGCGACCCCCAACCAGTCGTAAGTCAAGGATTACCCAACCGGTTGTAAGTTGAGGACTTTCCCTGGCCAGGAGCACCACGCATGTGTTGTGCCACCCCCTGCACCGGCCGAGGCGTAGCTGGCAAGTGGCAGAGATGGCGCAGGCTGACCACCGGCTGGGCCAGCAGCTGGCCCAGCCCAAGGGAGATAAGGCATCCGCTGGGTCCCATGCGCACTAGCAATCCACCCTGTGCACGCCGGCCTCCCACCTCCCACCCTTGGCCCTCTTTTACTTACATTTTTAGTAGTTGCTCAGCAGGGAGGGGTGGAAACTTCCAGACAGCTTGCCTTCACTGAAGACAACTTGCAGTACCATTTGCAGAATGGGACTTTTGGCAGGCTCAGCAGGGCAGAGACAGCCTGGACAATTTCTATTGGCTTTTGAAAGCCAATAGAATTAGACTCTATTCAAGAGAGTCTATTCTATTGGCTTTCAAAAGCCAATAGAATAAAAGGGAGTAGCACAGCTAAAGAAAAGGGGAAAAAATGGCGGACTGCAAGTTTCAATCCAAAATGGGAACAAGAAAAAAATGAGTTTGACCAGAACCATTAAAAACTGAAAGAGCTGAAATACTCTTGAGGTAATCAAGACTTCTAGGAAAGAAGATCTACCTGTCCAAAAAAAGGAGACTTGCAGAACCATGAAAGGCTATCTCCTATCCTTTTCACATATCAGGGTAAAAAAATCAGTGCATATGTAAAATAATTGAGTGTGGCATCAAAATACTGATGTACTGACTTTATCAATGTGACCACCCTTGCTCCCATATAATGACAGCGTAACCTTTCTTTCTACTGACTTACGGAAGCATAAGAATTTCATACATTATATCTGCTTCTAGAGATATTCTTACTGTGTATATTTCTTAAAATTTTTGTGATTATACTTTATAATAATTGCACGTCTCACAATTTACACTTTGGCCCTCATTCTGTTAATTATCGGAGATATTATTATTCTATATAATATGATAACTTCTCCTGGAGGAAACTGTTGTGTTCTTAATGGACAATTATGTTAATAAGCACACAAGTCAATTTCATTTTTGGTGTACAAGTCTCTTGAGGGAAACAAAACAAAGATTAATAAACATTCAGAATAGAATTTTATGTGACTGCAGATTGATGTTTCAATACTTAAAAATTAATGGGACAGCATTGACTTAGTGGTAAGATATTTAACACTCTTAAAATCATAGAAGACATTATAATGACAAATAAGTTAGTTATAAATTGAAAATTTAACAGAAAACATATTTCTTTTTTTCTATAACAAATTGGTATTTTTTCAATATGCTTTATTTTTTATATCTCATGGTTGGCTTTATAACTTTTTTGTAGAAGGAGAATTCACGCGAATTATTGCATAAGGTAGTTTTTCTGATATAATGGTGTTAGAACGTAGCCTGCTTTGGGGACAAGAACAAAGGGTTTTAGTATAATTTTTCAGAAATTTCACCTCAGACAGTAGATTTAAAGACAATTTGGAGAGATTTCTATGTAGCTAATAAAGAATGAATTAACTGAATATTTAACATGTTGGTACCTTTGCCACATAATTATAAAAGAATAAAAACAGTTATAATTTGCATAAATTTGGATCAAACTATCAGCCATAAGCTGATCATTATTAGATAAATTAGCATCAGCAAAGTCATTTCATAATCTGTCTGAATAAAAAAAATAGATGGTAATATTTCTAAATGTCTTTTTATTTTGTTTTATTTTTTGCTTCTTTTTAAACATTTTAGTATTATTGATGAAAACATGGGTTCAAATTTTTAAAAAATGCTGATATGTCAGAGTTCAGAGCGGTAATAGGTTGTATGGCCAAACTCTCATGGAGGGAATATAGATGTATATTGAAAGAGAGACTGCTTTTTTAAACTGATCTTTCATCTCTTTCTGATTAATTTATTTTGCTAATATTTGATTTCTTTTGATTAAATATATTTTATAGTAGTATAATTGTGCATATAATACGAATGAAATAATATCAAAATAGCAGTTGTAAATAAAGTTCTACCTTTCTTTTAATAATATATCATTCAATGCATGTTTAGGAGACTAATCTTTATGTATTAGTTTGAAGGCATTTTGTGCTTATTATCTTTACTCTAAAAGCTGCTAAGGTAAAAGAGAGGAGAGGAGAAAAAAAACATTTCCATCTATCTGCCACATAAAACAGAAACATACAGACACACAGCATTTCCAGTGAAAGACCTAAGAGTTTATTTTTATGTTTTTATGCTAGATTTACCATTCCTTTCTATTAGAATCACAAAGCACAATACATAACACATCCCACAATTTTACAACAATACCATAACCCTTAACCAGTGGTAAGGGATTGTGTTGAAAATGGATTTGAACAGGGTTTTGAAAATGGATTTGAACAGGGTTTTCTTAACCCTATGTAACCTTTCCGATTGTGATAGGAGATAATAAAAGGAAAAATGTCATATTTGCATCTGGTTCTTAGTGGATTTCTTGGTGGGTAGAATATGGTTTATGTTTATCTTAAATAAATCTTGTCTGTGGTCTAGTCCTCTGTTAATTCAGTCCATGCTTAATAATACTTTATATTTTCTATTCTTACCACATCTCAAAAGACCACTTATTTCATTTCCCTTTTCTGATTCCTTGCAGTTATGACCTGCAGCTTTCTCTTAAATGTCACATGGAGAATCAAACGACAGTGTCTTACTTTCTGCTCCTGGAATTCTCACAAAATCGGCAACTGCAGCTTTTGCATTTCTTCTTTCTCTTTGTGTTATATTTGGCAACTGTAACAACAAATCTTCTCATCATCACTGCAATAGCTTTTGACCATCGCCTGCACAGCCCCATGTATTTCTTTCTTATGAATTTAGCTGTACAGGACCTGGGCATTGTTTCAGTCATTGTTCCCAAATCCATGATCAATTCTCTCATGAACAACAGATGCATCTCTTATGTTGGCTGTGTTGTTCAAGTCTTCCTCTTTGTTTCTTTTGCAGTTTCTGATTTCTCCCTCCTGACAGTTATGGCATATGATCGGTATGTTGCCATTTGCAATCCACTGCACTATGAGATGGTGATGAATTTGAAAGCCTGCACTAAAATAATAATAGTAGTGTGGTTTTCAGGTATTCTATGTGGCACTTTGCATACCATTGGCACTTTTTCCATCCTTTTTTGTTCTAATGTTGTCAACCAATTCTTTTGTGAAAGTCCACAATTGCTAAAACTATCCTGCTCTGGGTTAAATCGACTTGAGGCTGGAATTGTTGTAGCCAATATTATTACTTCACTAGGTTGTTTTACTTTTATTATTGTATCTTATGCAGTGATCTTCAAGGCAGTATTAAGAATTCCTTCTGATCAAGGCAGGCAGAAAGCCTTATCCACCTGTATTCCCCACCTTACAGTAGTGTCTATGTTAGTATTAAGTGGATGTTTTGCCTATGGGAGACCTCCATCTAACACACCATCTTACTTAGATATTGGGTTGACTACTCTGTATTCCCTCCTTCCACCCCTGTTCAATCCAATTATATATAGCATGAGAAATAAGAATATCAAATTTGTCCTTTCTCAATTGTGGAGTGTCTGACAAATTCTTTTAATGTTATTTATATTCTGTTCACCACAGTTTTACATTTTTTCTGGCTTTTCTTTTACTTCTATGAATAGAGGATTAAGGTAAAAAGGAATAGTTGGGATGGAGGCAAATCTGAAATATCAAACCAGGAAAACCTAGCACTCTAGATTTTGCTTAATATAGGTCCTGCATCCTAAATTACTGTCAATTTACTCTACTGATGCTAAATATGGATTGTTTGACAGTTCTGGCATTCCACAGGCTGATAATTCCTTATATTTAATGAAGTGAGGATCAGGGTATAATGTGAATAGCAGAAATACTTTCAATCCAGAGGAGTTTTAAATGCTGTAGCCTATTTTCCCCTTTGCTTTCCCATACAAAATAGATTCCCTCTAAAGCTGGCAGATAATATAACTAGTTAAAGTTTCAGCTTTTCCAAAAGTACATGGGCCTTGATAACATTTCCCTCCTTAATTGATCATTTATTCCTAAAGTTTGATATTTTGCCTCTTTCAGTCAGTCTGCCCAGACAATTCTCTATAGTTTTCTGGGCAATCTTTTTCAGAAGGGGTTTGCTATTGCTTCCTTAAGGGCTGAGGTGGGGTGGTAGCCCAAAGTCATCCAGCTGGCTACATTCCAAAGGTGGAATAGAAGTCTAAACTGCTGATTTCTAACCCAATGCCTTAACTTCTCTGTCAAACAGATTTTCGAGTCTTTAGCTCAGACTATTATTTGTTTCTTTTAAAAATGTTTTGGCAAAACCAGACACCTGGCAGGTTGAGAAAGATTTGTGAGCTTTTATTGTATCACATAAACTTTTGATAATCAAGTAAAACAAAAAATGGAAGAAATTAAATTAGTATGATACATGCTTCTAATGAATAAAATAATAATGATGAAAAATAATTTCAGAAATCTTACATCTTGGTAAGTGGAAGAGATAAGGCATGTTTTCTGGTCCAATGCATGGACAAAGGAAGATAGGTAGATCTACATCAATGATACCTTACTGAAATGTTCTTGAGAAATAATAAATTCTATCCAAGCTATTGATAATGCATACCAAATGCCATATCACTATTTTTGTGATATATCTGCCATGATCCTCAAGTGTATGCAATATGGAAGATTCATCAAGTACTTTGGGGCTTGGTATAAACATACTTTTGAAAGGTACTACATTTAATCAACGTGACATCAGTAACGTCCTTTGATGAAAGTGAGGGGCTTTCAGCTAGAAGTATATGAAATTTTCTCTTACATTTTAAATCCTCTTTTGAATTTTATTGTCTTATTTTCTTGATTTCTCTGTGGATATTTCCTGTTTACATTACACTTTGCTGTTAAAGGGATTGTTTTGCTCTACTTTAAACTACGATTGATTCTTTCTTTGTTTGTTTGTTTCTAATTCATGAACCTATTATTCCTATTTTATCTGAGAAAAAGGAATGAGCCCATATTTCTTTAAGAGTCTTTCTAATTCCAGTTCATCATCATCATCATCATCGTCGTCGTCGTCGTCGTCGTCGTTGTTGTTGTTGTTGTTGTTGTCTAACAGAAGAAATTGTTTGACATATTTGATTACCAGAGATGGTGTTTTATATATCACCCTAAATAATGATTAGAGATTTTATTGTGGAATAAACTATGATTAGCAGGAATGTAAAACAAACTAACTCATATAATCCTTAGTTAGTTTAACTGATTCATAACAGCATATTTATTCTCAAACTAACGAAACAAGGTGATTTAAAAGTTATGTAAATAAGGAAATAATAACTTATGAAGTTCATTATGTCACCATTACATTTCATATTTATCTTTTTAAAGAACTTTCAGCACAAAAGTACTGTAGTAGGTTTTTTTATGCTTTCATATGAATGCATGTGGGCAAAAAGTATTTCCAAAATAAAAAAGAGAATATTCCTTTATTTGGAGAATATTAGTTGATGTATTGGATTATATACATATAAACAAGTCTGGAAATGTCTTGAAAATCATACTTTGTGGTTGTCCCATGACTGACCTCATTTGGGTGTAGCATTTCCTCAAGAGGGTCTTCTGAGTAGTAGACAATTTTTTTTGCAAGTATAGCAAAAAAAAAAAAAAGAGGTTGTAAAAGATTGAAAAATGTGGTTGGAGTCTGGTCTTTCTTCAATATACATACAAATAGCAAAATGCAAGTTTTATATTGTATCATATTTCTCTTCTTGCTTCTCACCACAACTCTTCCTTTTACTTTCTACTTTATCTATATATCAAAATTATCTGGGATTAGAATTGAAAGTCTGAGAAATTCATAGAGAACAAGCCCTTTGGAGTTATGTAAAGATTCCTTACTCCCTTTATTTAGCAAGCAAGAAGGATAAACAAGCAGGTTAGCTCAGAATGGAAGTTAATCTTTTAGACTTTTCTTAATATGGAGAAAATCAAAATACGTCACTAAACTTGTCTATATACAACAGTCATTCACACTGCCACTACACTGCCTTATAGTTATGGTATATTATTATTTATGCTATAAGCCAGAATCCTATTTGAATTTGGTGTGATATCTCCTTTTTGAGATAGGCCAGTCAAGAAACCAACACCTCAAGTTTAACTGGAATTATACTTTTATAGTCTTGAAAGTCTAATTGTGTTTGCCTTCCCTCCTTTTTATATAGAAGACAGTTAGCTTGAAGACAGTTGTTTTTATTCTTTGCTCATTTGCTGGGTTGTTCTTTTCATTCTGTATAGTTTTTAAATTCTTTCAATTCGAGACATATTTTGTTTAAGCTTGTTGTAAAATATGAGTTACATAAAGGTTCAATCCAATATAGCTATATGAAAAAATAAGATCTGGTGGAGCTGAAACTCTTGAAGTAATCAAGACTTTTAGGAAACAAAATTTATCTTGCCAACATAAGTGCCATGGAAGGCTATCTTTTACCCCTTTCATATTTAAGTACAAGATTTTAGTGTATATATAAAACAAGTGCTCTATCAAAAGTTTACCAAAATACTGATGTACTGACTTTGTCAATGTGGCCACTCTTGCTGTTACCTTTCTTTCTATTAACTTAGAAGAACATGGGTGTCCTGTACTTTCTATTATATGCTGTGCCCTCCCAATGAGATGTTCAATTTTTTTCTTCATTTTCCACTATGTGTTTTATTCAATCAAGCCAGCCAAAGCTACTGAATTGTCTAAATTGCACAGAGAAGATAGATTTTCCTACCAATTTAGATATATTAAAAATATGCTGAAATATGATGAAATATGTTGAAATATGAAAAATGTTGAAAACTGTTTCTTGATGTTTTGCCACATGGGCTGTGGATGGGTTCTTCTGAAGAAGTGGTAGAAGCCATGGGGGGAGGGGAGAATAAATTTTGCAACTATCAATTATATTATATTTGTATAATTCCCTTTCTAAATCTTATCCATTGTGCATCTTGTTCTGTGAGGGTTTTTTTTACTCATTTCCATGGATTCACTATATTATTTTTTCTATTATAGGCATTTTTATAAGTCTCTATGAGCTTACATTGTATCTCATTCTATGAGTCTTGTTTTAGGCATGTATCTGCAGTCTCATCAGGAAGCCAAATGCACCCTACAAAGGGGTGAGGTTTACAATACAACAGTGCAATAATCATGTTTTTTGAACTCCCACACTAATCCCACTGAATTTTATAATTTATTATTTAACTATTGGTAGTCCACTAGTTTTCTATGGGTTTCCTGACACTTCTTTTCTGTCTTTTGCCTTTATTGTTTACAGGAAGACATAGTTTTTCAACCACTGCACAATCATCTAGGCTGAACAAGCCCAATTCTCAGTTCTCTGTCACAGTCACGACATCTAGAATAGAGGATGGGATTTTTTTGATAACTGGTGGTGAAAGAGAATCTGAAGTGATGAAACATGCTTCAGGGAGGTTTTCGCACTTGATCTATGTTTCATCTCTCACTATCTGGTCTTCTGGTATGACTACAGCCCCAATGGTGATAACAATCTGGGATATTATTATTTATGTGATATGATAATTGGTCCTGTATTATTTAGAGATAGCTCTTGTGCTCTTAATGGCCAATTATGTTAATAAGCTAACAGAAGTCAGTTTTATTTTGGGTGTACAACAAGTCTCTTAAGAGAAAGAAAACAAAGATTCATAAACATTCATCATAGAAATCTCTGTGACTGCAGATAGATATTTCACTACATGAAAATTAATGAGGCAGCATTTGCTTAGTGGTAAAATATCTCTTAAAAGCATGGAATACATCATCTGTATAGAGACAAATTGTCAGCTATAAATTGAAAGTTTAACAAAAAAGGTATTCCCTCTTTTGTGGTACAAATTGATGTTTATTTCAGTATGTTTTATGTGTTCTACTTCAGGGTTGGTTTTATAATTTTTCTGCTGGAAGAGAATTTAAGTGAATAATTGCATAAAATAGTTTTCTGATATAATGGAATAAGAAGTTAGGCAATTTGGGGAGAGAGAACAGAAATTGAAACTCAGGCAATATATTTAAATATATTAGTAAACATGCTCTGATTCTCATTCTGTCCATGCTTTCATTTCTTGATGTTTTCTATTCTCACCGCATATCAAAATGCCACCTCAAAAATTTTATCTAACTAAATTTCCCTCTTTTCTTTCCTTGGAGTTATGCCAGCTTTCTCATAAATGAAACATGGAGAACCAGACCACAGTGCGTTACTTTCTGCTTCTGGAATTCTCAAAAAATCAGCATTTTCAGCTTTTGCATTTCTTCTTCTTCTTTGTGTTATATCTGTCTATTGTAACAACAAATTTTCTCATCATCTCTGCAGTTGCTTTTGATCATCGACTGCATAGCCCCATGTACTTCTTTCTCATGAATTTGGGTCTGCAGGATGTGGGCATTGTTTCAGTCATTGTCCCCAAATCCATGATAAATTCTCTCATGGATACCAGACGCATCTCTTATTTTGGTTGTGTTACTCAAAACTTTATCTTCCTTTCCTTGGAAGCTTCTGATTTCTCCCTCCTGACAGTGATGGCATATGATCGGTATGTTGCCATTTGCCATCCATTGCAGTATGAGATGGTGATGAATTGGAAATACTGTATTGAAATAATAATTGTAGTGTGGGTTGCCGGTCTGCTCTATGGAATGTTGCATACCATTGGCACTTTTTCCATCCATTTTTGTTCTAATGTGGTCAACCAATTCTTCTGTGAAATTCCGCAATTGCTAAAACTATCCTGCTCTGGATTAAATCTACTTGAGTTTGGAATTCTTGTGTTTGGTATCATTGCTGCACTAGGTTGTTTTACTTTTATAATTGTATCATATGCAGTGATCTTCAAGGCAGTGTTAAGAATCCCTTCTGAACAAGGAAGGCAAAAAGCCTTATCTACTTGTATTCCCCACCTCACAGTAGTGACTATGTTCTTTTTAAGTGGATGCTTTGCCTACCTGAGACCTGCCTCTAACACTCCATCTTACATTGATTTTTGGTTGACTGTTGTTTATGCCCTCCTTCCACCTCTGTTCAATCCAATTATCTATAGCATGAGAAATAAAACTTTCAAATGTGTCCTTTCTCAGCTGTGGAAACTGTGACAGATTTTTAATGTTGTTTATATTCTATTCAGCATTTTTTTTTTCATTTTCCTGTCTTTTATTTTCCTTCTGTGAATAAAGGAATATGACAGAAAGGGATAGTTGGGATGGAGGCAAATCCAACCTCTCAAACTTGATGAACCTATCACTCTTATATTGCTTAGTCAATTTCCTGCATCTCTAATTACTATCCACACGCTTTACAGATGCTAAACATGGATGCTTGGCAGTTCCGGCATTTTACATGCTAACAATTCCTTATGTTTAGTGAAGTGAGTATCAGGATGTAATGCGATTGGGGGAAACACCTGAAATGCAGAGGAGGTTTAAATGATGTGTTCTCTTTTCTTCTTTGCTTTCCTATATGAAATGGCTTCCTACTAATGCTTTAAGAATAGACTGGATTTCTGCTTAAACAGGGGATTGGACCAGAAGTCATCTAAGGTTCCTTCCAGCTCTATTCTAATTGATTGATTGGTCTGTAATATGGCTAGCTAAAGCTTCAGATTTTCCAAAGTATATAGGCCTCTATAACACTTTCCTTCTGAAATGGTTATTTCCTCACAAACTTTGATATTTTGTTCCTTTCAGTCAGCCTTAAGTCCTGGCAATTGTGTCCCTATATTTTTCCTGGTAATATTTTTTTCAGAAGGGTTTGCCATTGCTTCCTTTCAAGGGCTGAGAGAAAGGTACTGGCCTAAAGTCATATAGCTGGCTACATTCCTAAAGTGAAATAGAAGTTCCAGTTTTCTGCCTTAATATCTACATCATATTGGTTTTCAGATTTTTTTAGCTCAGAATATTTCTTTTCTTTAGAAGTGCTTTGGCAGGACCGACATCTGACAAGATGTGCAAGCTGTGTGAACTGATACTCACACAATCTTTTGATAGCCATGAGAAATAAAAAAGCAAGAAATTAAATTAAGAGGATGCATAATTCTTCTAGAACATCAAATAAGCTTTTGGAAGTCTTACAACTTAATACAGAATGAAAGAGATAAGGCATGTTAACTGGTCCAATACCTGGAGAAAGGAAGAGAGATAGATCTACACCAAAGATAATAGCTTATTGAATTATCTTTGAGAAATAATGAGTTTCATCCAAGCTACTGGTAACGTATACGAAAAGACATATCATTATTTTGTCACTTTCACAATACTTTTGTAAATGTACACAAAATGGAAGATTCATCATGTATTTTGGGACTCTGTATAAGTGTACTTGGGAGTACTATATACTTATTGAATCACTTAGATGACATCAGTAACTTACTTTGAGGAAGGTTCAGGGCTTTTAGGTAAAGAGATATGAAAATTTCTCATACATTTATAGTGTTCTATTGAATTTTGAAATCTTGCTTACGTGCCTTTTCTCTGGATATTCCTTGTCTACATTATACTTAGCTGTTAATGTTATGATTTTGCTCTGCTTTGCTGAATAAACTCAACCTTTAGGTCTGTCTGTCTGTCTGTCTGTCTGTTTCTCTCTCTCTCTCTCTCTGTGGTTGTTTCATTCTAATCCATGACCTTCCTGTTCACATCTTGTGTGGCAAAAAGGAATGAACCCATATTTCTTTATGGGGGACTCAGATTAAAGAAAGAAAAATGCAAGATTGGGGTTGAGTCAATGGAGTTCTTGGGGTTCCGCATCAATGCCGATGGCATCCAAGCATCGGACTCAAAGCTGAAAGCAATTCAGCAGGCCCCAAGCCCCGAAGTCCAAGGGAGAGCTTCAGGCCTTCTTAATTTTTACCATGCCTTCCTTCCAAACAAGGCCACTGTGGCAGAGCCATTACACCAGCTCTTGGACAGACGAGCCCAGTGGAAGTGGACTAGCATCCACGAAAGGAGCTTCCAAGCAGTCAAATCACTGTTGTCCTCAAACTCTGTATTCATGCATTTTAACGAAAGGCTGCCAATATGCATTGCATGTGATGCATCTCCATATGGGGTTGGGGCTGTGTTGAGCCATTTGTCGGCTGATGGGAAACAGTCTCCCATCGTCTACTATTCTAGGACCCTGTCGTCCGCAGAGTGCAACTATGCACAAATTGATAAGAAGGTGTTGGCAATCATGGCTGGAGTTAAAAAATTCCATGACTATTTGTACGGTTGCCAGTTCACGGTCTTTACAGACCACAAGCCACTCCTAGGGTTGTTCACTACGAACAAACAGACACCCAGATTCTGTTGCCTTGAATGTTGAGGTGGTCTATTTTTCTGTCAGCCTACAACTACAGGCTGGTTCACAAACCGGGGAAATAAATGGGCCGTGCAGACGGCCTTAGTAGTTTGCCTCTACCACATGTAGAGCTAGATCCAGCTCCAGCTGCATGCATCCTGACTATCCAGGATCTGCCGGAGTCTCCCCTTCACACTGCAGACATAGCTGCTAAGATGGCAGCTGACAAAATACTGAGTTGTGTATTGAATTGAGTGCATACAGGATGGCTAGACAAATGTCCAGGTCCAGAATTTCAGAGCTTTTTCGTGTGAAAAGATGAGCTTTCATCTCATAAGGGGTGCATCCTTTGGGGAAGTAGGGTCATAGTTCCTAGCTCATTAAGACCCAGAGTGCTTGAGTCTCTGCACGAGGACCGTCTGGGAATAGACTGGATGAAGGCACTCATGAGGAGCTACCTTTGTTGGCCTGGGCTAGATAAGGCTATCGAAGCCCAAGTACATGGTTGCATCACTGTCAACAGTCCAGAACGAAGATGCTGCAAGCCCCTGTCTACCAATGGGAGGACAATCACACACTGTGGTCAAGAATCCACATTGACTTTGCCAGGCCCTTTCAGGGACAGCTGTTTTTAATAGTGGTCAATAGGCATTCAAAATAGTTAGAAGTTGCACCAGTTCCCAATATGACTACTGCCAGGACTATCTAGGAACTGTGCAGAATCTTTGCAACACACAGGCTTCCAGACGTCTTAGTATCAGACAATGGGGCTCAGAATTTACTGCTTCAGAATTTCAGTCCTTCCTCAGGACAAACCTCATAAGGTACACCACATCAGTTCTCTTTCACTCGGCCTCAAACGGCCAAGCGGAACGAATGGTCTGCACAACTAAGGAGCCCTAAAATGGATTGTCACCGGAAACTGGCACCACAGATTGGCAGACTTTCTACTCTGCCAGCATACAACTCCCTGCACAGTCACAGGCAGAAGCCCAGCTGAGCTAGGTTGGGGGCGATGTTTGATCACTAAACTGGACAGGCTCCACCCCACCCAGAAGTCTGGAAGTGGGTGACCAGGTTTGGACCCAGAATTATGGGCAAGGAGCTTTTTGGGTAGTAGCAGTGGTTGTAAAGTTGTCAGGGCCACTTTCCTATGAGGTAGTCCTCAAAGATGGGCGAATCATTCGCCAGCACATTGATCAGCTGCATTGGTGGCTGAAGGATCAGTCACCAGTTCAGAACTCCCAAGAAGCCACACACAGGGCCCGCATGACAGCGGTCCAACAGAAGAGTTTGCAAGCTACGACAGGACCCTCCCTCAAGGAGATGGGGGAATGGTCATAGTAGAGCCTCATCTGGACGCACAGACTGCATCGGCTGAACAGGACAGGCAAATGGCACTGAGAGACAGCCCTGCAGATTTTGCTGCAAGAGTGAATTTTGGTTTGGGCTGACTGGGACTGGCCAGTCAAAGGGACTCGAGTAAAACCAACTCCACTGAACCTCTGAGTCCTGGTCTACCCAGCCTGGCAGGCAAGCAAGTAGATCAGGGAAGACTGGCAACCCTTAGGCATTCTGAATAGTCAAGAAGGCCACCTAAGTATTTGCAAGATTATGTCAAACAATTAAGGGTTTGAACTATCTAGGGCAGCGGTTCTCAACCTTTGGGTCGTGACCCCATTTGGGGTCAAACGACCATTTCACGGGGGTCACCAAACAACACAGTCCGCCATTTCCGTCAAGAGACTCTATTCTATTGGCGTTCGAAAGCCAATAGAATCTATTGGCGTTCAAAAGCCAATAGAATAGACTCTCTTGAATAGAGTCTAATTCTATCGGCTTTCAAAAGCCAATAAGAATTGTCCAGGTTGTCTCTGCCCTGCTGAGCCCGCCAAAAGTCCCAGTCTGCAAACAGTGCTGCAAGTTGTCTGCAGCTAAGGTGAGCTTTCTGGGCATTTCCACCCGTCCCTGCTGAGCAACTACTAAATGTAAGTAAAAGAAGGCCAGGGGTGGGAGGTAGGAGGCCGGTGGGCGCAGGGAGAGTTGCTGGTGCACATGGGGCCCGGCGGGTGCCTTACCTTCCTTGGGCTGGGCCAGCTGGTGGCCCAGCCGGTGGTCGGCCTGCGCTGTCGCTGCCACTTGCCAGCTATGCCTCGGCCGGCGCAGGAAGTGGCACCATGCATGTGCGGCACTCCTGGGCCAAGGCAGTTGCTGGGCGATGGCCTGCACACACCCTTGGCCTGCCCAGCATGCACTCCAGCCACAGGAGAGGAGACGGAGCATGCGCGCCTCCTCCTGCCCCGTCCGCAGGGAAATACAGGTAGTCCTTGACTTACAACCACATGGTTGGGGGTTGCGGCATTAGGAAGGTTGAGAACCACTGATTTAGGGGGAAGGGGTATAATGTAGTGATCACAACTGTTTTGAATCACTTGCTTAATGTCTAATCACTTGTTTGAATGTCTGATCTAGATTCTGTTGTTATGTAATGGCTGCTGTTACTTAAGCCAGACTTGCTGTCTCCAGGCTGGTAATTAGGTTTTGGGTGGGAAACTGTTACTTTAAACCAACTGGCTACTGCCTGGAGGCTAACCATATAAATAGCTGCACAGCAGCTATTTGAGCTGCTTCTGTTCAGAGTTAAATAAACTTGTTGCTGTTTCAACACTTGTCTCGCTTAATGCCTTCAAGAACCAAATACTTAACACATACCTCCTGGCAATTGCCTGGACAAGTCCCTATAGTTTTCTTGGCAACATTTTTCAGAAGTAGTTTGCCATTGTCTCCTGTCCAGGGCTAAGAGAAGGAACTGACAAAAAAAATCACTTAGCAGGCTAAATTTCCAAGTTGAAATCTGAAACTCCAGGTTTCTAGCCTGATGTCTTAACTTCTAAATCAAACTGGCTTTCAGATTATGTTCAGAGTATAATTTCTTTCCTTTGATATGTTGAGATGATACTATATCACATAATTATTTGATAACCACAAGAAATTAAAAAAGAACAAGTATAAATTAGGGTTGTAGGAGTCAGCCTTCCCCCCAGAGAATGAAATATTTTGAGGAATAGTAAAAAAAGACAGAATAGCATATTTCCCCTGAAGAAGAAATGGAGAAAAAAATCTTAGGCAGAAATGACCTCGGTCTCCCTTTCCTCAGGCAGAAACCTGAGGAGGCCACTCTTTAGAAATGTAGATTTGGTAATCCATTCAGAAAGACTGGGGCACAATAGCAAACACCTTGAGCCTCACAGCTGATAGGATTAAGAATTTAGATTTCTTCACCCAGCTCCAAGGACAGGACATGATCTCTCAGCCACAATGGGAGTCAGGCAACAATAATTAGAATACCAAAAAAACACACTCAAGCTCAGGTCAAAGTACATTGCACAGGAACAGGCACCTTAAATATAAAGCCCAGAGAAGGTATTAAAAACACACCCACTCTCAACTCCATTTGGTCAACTGTCCCAGAACTGCATGCTGCTGCTGGTTCTGCTCATCAATAAACTACAATCTTCTTTCCTAAGCGGCCTCCATTTTGATTTCCAGTGTCTTAGCCTCTATTTTATTTACTCCCAGCTTGGAATTGGACCTGATTTTCTTTCAACAGAGTGATGCATAATTCTACTAGAAAATCAAATAAGCTTTCAGAAACCTTACAACCTGATGCAAAGTAGAAGAGATAATATATGTTCCCTGGTCAAATATCTAGAGAAGGGAAGATAGATCTACACCAAGTATGATATCTTATTGAAATGTACTGCAGAAATAATGAGTTTCAAAGAAGCTACTGATAATGTATACAAAAAGCCATACTACTATTTTTCAACTAAAGGGATATGAAAATTTCCCCTACATTTATAGTGATGTATTCCATTTTGCAATTTTGTTTTCTTGCCTTACCTGTGATTATTTCTTATCTACATTATACTTAGCTGTTATTATTTTGCTCTGCTTTTCTTAAAAAAACTGTTTCAACTTTTAGAGATTTTTTTTGGGGGGGGGAGGGGAGTGTGTTTCTTTCTAATCCATGAACGTCCAATTCCCATTTTGTGTGAGAAAAAGAAATGAGACCAAACCTCTTTAAGAGTCTTTCTAATTCTAGTTCCATCTGGAAACATCCATATGAGCCTTTGGTTTGATGAAAGAAGTCAGCATTCTATCAAGGATAAAGATAAAGCAGATATTAGATTTCTGCAAATCTGTTTATGAAAAATTTTCCCCATGCCTTCACCAAGTTGTTGAAGTCATGAAAGAGCTAACAG